AACTCAAACATGTTTTTGAAAAATAGACTATACAGGATTAACTCAATAATTTGATACTATGTGGCAAGATGGTCTCTTAATTTTTATTTATTAGGGACTATCTATAGAAGACGGGAAAGTACATTTAAGGGAAAGAAGGATTCTTAATGAATTTGAGAAAGAAAAGCTGTGGAGTGGTATTACAAAGAGCAAGTATAGCACTTCTTCCCTGATGAATTAACCAAGACAGGGCAAAAGGGGAAGACAGAGGTGAAAGAATTTGTATAGGATTATGTTTCTTAAAGTAATTCAATACTAGAATTAAGGTTTTAAACGATTGTGTTCTTAAAGGGGATGAGAAATTCAACCACTAAATCTTTTACAAAATATATTTCACACCCTGAACTCAAGCCTTCTATTTTTGACAAATCATATATCTCTCAGTTTGTCTCTATTTATAGACAGGGAACACACTGAATTAGATCATTAACAAGACCCACCCAATAGAGTGCTTCTTCATTATATAAAATCACAAAAATTCTTTTTGAAAAAAGTAACCCTGTCATTTGACATATTAGTTGTTGGATGTTGTGCTAGATTAGATTGCAAAGATTACATAATCCCTCTGAGTTTTGCAGGCCTTTCATCACCTTGGCTGGCAACAACAAAAAAAAAAAAAAAAAAAAACCCAGCACTGTCAAACAGCACTGGAATGAATATGTGGGTATACTGTATCACTGCATTTCTACTACAAATCCTTGGCTTTTAAAAAATGAGTTTGGTTTATCCTTCCTCTGAATAATATTCTGTAATAATCTGAGAGAGGGGGAAGAAGATCCTGATTTTAAGAGGGTCTAACCTTTTGAAAAAAGAATTATTCAGCAAAATTGTAGAATATCAGAGTTCAATAGGTCGTAGAGTTTTTATAGTCAAGTCCCTTTTTATAGGTGAAGGCTTTGAAAACCAGAACATTATTTGTGCAAGATAACACACGTAGCTAGTGGAAGAAGACAGTCCAGGTTCTACCTTTCTGAAGTTCAGGTTTACATATTTTTATACAAAAACTAATATAGTTAAGCTCAGGGGAAGTTGTCATGTTTCTCAAACTTGGCTATGCATTAAAATTATCAGAGGAATTACTTCAAAAGTGAAATTCTTTGATCTTATCCTAGATAATTAATTCAATCAGAATCTCTAGGTGGGGAAACCTGGATTCTGTATTTTTAAAAAGACTTCTCATCAAATCCAATATGAAATGAGTTACAAAATCACTAGTCCAGAAAAACAATCAATGAACTTTGACAGGAATGAATTTCCCTCTTTTCTCAGCATGTTCTTGGAGACCATTTTACTCTCAAAAGTGTCCCAGTCTATATGTAAATCTATACCCAATCTTACTGATAAGCACTGAAATAACATTTCCAATGACAAATGAAAATATCTTCCTGAAATGTTACACAGCTAGAGCAAGGATCCATGGTGCCCAAAGGAAAGAACCTTTTCAGCTACTCTGGAATTCTCCCTTTAAGAAAAAGACATATCCATCTCCGTGGTGATTTTTGGCTTCTTAAACTTAAGGTAAAAGTTTAGCCACATTATGACAGGATTTTTTTCTGGGATCTGCCTGAATTTAATATTGTAAGAGTCCTCTATTCCTTAGTCAAGAAATGGGAACATGCAGAATAAAGAAATCTGGCACAAACCAAGTCATGAAGGAAATGCCTAGGCCTGTAACATATCCATGTTGTCGTTGTTGCTTAGTTTAGTCTGGACAATTTCAGTTCCAAATAACAAATCAATTCAATTAGCTTAAAATAAAAGTTAATTCATTAACTGATGTAACTGGGAAAGAACCAGCACCTAATATTGACCCCAGCACCTAGGATAAATATATCCAAGTTCCTTTCCATCATGAGTCAACTCTGTCCTATACCAATACGTGCTTCCTCTCCTATTGTTGGCAGGCTCCATCCACAAGATGAGACTAGGTGCCAGTGGTCTAAGATTCCTGTCTTCCCAGTGAAGGAAACACAGAGGAAAGAGAGAATTATGTACTCTTGTCTCAAAAGAAATATAGCAAGGAGTCTGACTGGTTGACTGAAGTCATTAAGCTACACTGAGCCAGTCTGTGTAGCCAGGGGAATGAATGCCCTATTGAATGAGACTGACCCTCATTCCTACCTAACACTGGAGTAGATAAAGAGGTATCTATTATGTGAAGTTGAAAAGGTTACATGGGAAAACTTACTATATGGCTGAAAACTAACAACCACATAACTATGCCACCATCATCATAGACCTTCAAAAAGTAGAGGCTTCAGTTCAATAGATTTGTAAAGAAAATATCACAACAGCTTTAAGGAAGACTTTCTTATTCCAAATTTGAAAGTAAGTCAGTATAATAGATGGAAAGTATAAATCCCATTTTGTAAATGAATTCTTCCAAATTCATGATGTAAGAATGACCTTTCTTCACATAAGCAGTTATACCTCTACTGACAAGTTGCTATTAGAAATGCAGGTACATATCAGTGAAAGAAAAAGACTGAAATCTCTCTTTTATTTTAACAGGATCTTGAGTGCAGCTGGAGGAGCATAAAATTACAAAGGAAATCTAGAATAGAATGAAATTCAGACCAAGGATATCCTAACCCTTCCCTGACCCTACAAACAAAAACTTTGCAATCAACACTTTAATGCTTTATTTTCAGGTATCAGGTGGTAGCAAAAATTTGTGGATTACTGAAAATGAACCTGAAGAAAATGAGTCAAGGGGAAAAAGTGAGTTTAGGTAGTTATTTTCTATCTCTGATCAGTTTTAGAATATGTTTCTTAGTCCTTTGTGTCCAAGTTGGAGCTACAGTCAAATATGAAAAGAAATTAATATTGATTGAACACAGCTGGTGAGTATTTTAATATTGCAAGTTCAAGAGAACAAGGCATGATCTTATGAACTCTTCAGTGTAATCTCTATTTATAATCAAATATTTTAATGTATTCAATTCCACTCCAAGAATGCACTTTCTTCACTTTGGAAATGTGAAATACTGTGGATTAGCCTACAGTTGATTTTCAGAGAGGAAATTGAAGCATGTAGAAATTAGGCTTTTTCTGGGAATTTAAGCAAACTATTATAGGTTAGAATCTGGATGTGGGGATATGTGCTTTCCAGTACAATCAGAATGGTCAATGAAGAAAATGTTTTTACAAACTAATCTACTAACTTCATCCCCATGCTTCAGGGAGCAAACTGTTATTCTTTAGATTAAGAAGACTCTAAACTAGAGATTCTCTCCCTGAACCATGTTGCAGAGACCCCCTCACAGTCATTGAAGGTCTTATAGTATCTCCATAATGTAAACCTGAGCCATAAGATCTAATCAAGATAAGTACTTTCCCTTTGTAAACTTGATTTCCTTTAAAATCAAGTGTGAAGTAATTTACAGGGAGCCACAAAAGACCCCAAACAACCAAACAAATCCTGACAAAAAAAGGATAACGGTATCACACTCCTATAATTCAAACTACATTAGAAAGTTATAATAATCCAAACATATAGCATTGGAATAAAAATAGACTCATAGACAAATGGAATACAATTGAGAGCCTAGAAATAAACCCACACATCTATGAACAGTTAATCTGCAACAGAGGAGCCATTAGTATTCATCAAACAAAGGATAGTCTCTTCAACAAATGGTGGTATGCAGCCATAGGCAAAAGAATGAACTTAGACCACTACCTCACACCACACACAAAAGCCAACTCTACATAGACTAAAGACTTGAATGTAAAACCTAAAATCATAAAATACGTAGAAAAAAAGGACAGGCAAAACACTCCACAACATTAGCTTCAGGGATGCCTTTGGGGATTTGACTCCAAAAGCAAGGGAAACAAAAGTAAAAATAAACAAGTGTCACTACATCAGACTACAAAGCTTCTACACAGTGAAAAAAACTTTGATTAAAACAAAAAGACACCCTACTGAAAGGGAAAAAATATTTGGACATCATACATCTGACGGGACTGTTACCCAATATCTACAAAGAATTCATACAACTCAACAAAAAGAAAACAAAGAACCCAATCCAAAAATGGGCAGAAAGTTAAATAGCCACCTCATGGCAACAGACACATGAAAAAATGTTCATCATCACTTATCGTCAGGGAATGCGAATCAAAATCACAATGAGCTAACACCTCACTCCCATGAGAATGGCCCATATTAAAAAAATACAAAAACATTAAATATTGGCAAAGTTGTCAAGAAAAAAGAACCCTCATATACTGTTGAGAATATAGATTGGTCCAGCCCCTGGGGAAAACAATATGGTGGTTTCTCAAAACATTAAAAATAGACCTACTATATGATCCAGCAATTCCACTCCTGGGTGTCTACCAGAAAAATGCAAAAATACTAATTTGAAGGGATATATGTACTCCTATATTCACTGCAGCACTATTTACAACAGCTAAGTTATGGGAACAACCTAATTGCCCAAGGACAGATGAGTGAGTTGAATTAAGAAATGTGATATATATAAACAATGGAATAGCACTTGGCTATTAAAAAACAAAAATGAAATCTTACCATTTGTGACAATGTGAATAAATAAGTCAGAAAATTTTTTCAGAAGGAAGAAAGACAAATGCAGCGTGATTTCAATTATATGTAGAATATAGAGAAACAAAACAAAGCAGCAGAAAAAAAACAAAACAAAACAACCCTTGAGGGTCCCAGATGGGGAGGGGGCAGTTGGAAAACAAAGGAGGGAGGGGAACCAGGACTCTAATGAAGGACAATGGGTGCAGTGTGCTAACAGGTGTGAAGAGGTGTAAACCTGTACCTTTGAATCATATTCAGTGTAGTGCACCATGTTATCTCAGTAACCCTTAAATTAATTAACAAGTAACCAAGTGTGCAAGTGTACAGTGATAGGAATTAGCTACATAGACTGAAGGAACCCTGTCAAGGAATAATCTAATAGAGATGCAACTAAGAACACCCCTCAACTCACCACAGCAGCCTTCCCACCTTCTCACCCCAGCTCTGGACTCCTGAAAAAAAAAAACAAGCAACAGAGATGAATGTTTCTCCAAGTCTAAGTTGTTAGTGTAAAATGAACATTACTGAGCATCAAGCTGATAGTTCTCATCTTAGATAAAACGTGTAAAATATTGATCTATGCAGAATATATGTATATATATATATAGCATATATATTCTATCACAGCTGCAGAGGCCACAAATCTGAAATCAAAGTATTGGTAGGACTGATTGGGAAAAAAATCTTTGCACTCCAGTCAACCGGTAAGGGACTGATCACAAAGATACACAAGGAACTCACAGGACTCAACAAAAACAAAATAAACAATCCAGTCAATAAATGGGCAGAAGAACTTAAAAGACATTTCTCCAAAGAGGAAATACAAATGGCCAACAGGCACATGAAAAAATGTTCAACATCCCTGATAATCAGGGAAATGAAAATTAAAACCACATTGAGATACTACCGTACACCAGTAAGAATGACACATATCAAAAAACAAGCAACAATAAATGTTGGTGAAGATGTGGTGAAAAAGGAACTCTCTAACATTGCTGGTGGGAGAGCAAACTGGTCCAACCACTATGGAAAGCTGTCTGGAAGTTCCTTAACCTACTAAAAGTGGAGCTACCATATGACCCAGCAATTCCACAAGGGATCTACCCAAAGGACACAAAAACATTGATTCAAATGAACACCTGTACCCCTATGTTTTTTGCAGCACTATTAACAATAGGTAAAACCTGGAAACAACCCAAATGCCCAAAAATAGATGACTGGATCAAGAAGATGTGGCATATATACACAATGGAATACTATTCAGCAATCAAAAAGATAAACTCATGTCATTCACAGCAACATGGATGGAACTAGAAGGAATTATGCTGCATGAAATAAGCCAGGAGGAAAAAGAAAAACATCAAATGGTTTCACTTGTAGCAGGAATATAGGGGAACCAAGCAAGACATTAGTGAAAAAAGTAATAACTGTACACAACACAACAAGCAAAAACGGACAATTATAAATCAGAGACATCCTGCAGGGGAGGAGGCGGGAGAGGGATCAGAGGGAGGGAGGGAGGAGCACAGGGGACTGAGGTGATGGTGCACGGGTGCCTTGGTGAAGGAAACTCTATGGAGACTATACTTGAGGGGGTTGGGGGAACCAAATAGTGTTTAAAAATGAACAATGATATAAAAACTTTAAAAAAATTTAAAAAAGATGAAAAAAAGGAAAAAATAAATGAATAAAGTCAAGCCAGAAAGAAAAAAAAATTAAACAACAAAAGTATTGGTAGGGCCATGCTCCCTCCACAGGCTCTGTTGGAGAATCTTGTTTGACTCTTCCAGTTTCTGATCGTTTCTGGCATTCCTTAGCTTGTGGCAGCGTTCTTACCCCCATCTTTACATGCCTTATTCTCTCTCTCTGTCTCTCTGCATCATCTCTTCTTCTGATAAGAACACCACTCATTGAATTGGGGGCTCCACCTTAAATCCAGGATAATTTCATTTGAAACTTTCATCTAGTTATATCTGCAAATGAAATAGGACTATAGGGGTGCTATAGCTATCCAAGGGCAGTGGTCAGGTAGAGGACAGATCACCGTCTGCAGGTTTCACCTGTGCACTCTGGCTCAGGAAAACAACAATGGGGTTGATTTAACAAATACGAGAAACAAGAGTTCCCAAGGCCACAAAGTGACCCGGTATCTCACCCCAGATAGTGTGTAGAGGGCAGGAACTGGCCACGGAGCAGGTTTTCTAGGATCCCATGCAGACCGGGTAAAGGAGTCAGAGTCCTCAGTGGCTTTTGCAGGTCTTTTATTGGGATTTACCCGGTACACAGCAGGTAAGGGTGCTGGGGGGCCGGGAGGCTGGCAGGCCTCCCAGCCCCCAGCAAGTCTTCATTCTATCTGGGCTCTCCGGCCTTCTCTCAGCTTCTGCTTCTCTTGCTTCTCTTTCGGCTTCTCTGGTTTCTCCTGGCGTCCCTGTGACGCTGCCCTTAAAAGCCCAGTCTTAGCCCAGATGAATCCCATCTACCTATGCCCACTCTCTACTCCAGGTGCCCGCCATCAGGCATGCATTCAGGACAAGGATCCATCACCTATCCTGACAGTGGGAGGGCAGAAAAGCCTGACATTTTTCCTTACCCTACATAGTGTCAACAGTGTCACTCGTTCACATGGCACAGTCCAGTCAACGAGAGCGAGCAGTGTGTCAGGGTCCAACTCACCGCAGCTGGGGGTGCTCACTGGTGGGAAAGCTGCAATGACCCCCCAGCAGCCGCAGTGTAGGTTAAGGTAAAATGTATCAGGCTTTTCTGCCCTCCCGCTATCAGGATAGATGAGGGAGCCCTGTGATCCTGAATGCACGCCTGATGGCAGGCACCTGAAGTGGGTACACCTGAGCTGAGAGACTGATTTATAAGGGTGGTGCAGCGGAGTGCAGGGTGGTGGTAGTGCGGTGTTAAGGGTGGAGGAGTGGAGTGTATGGAGTGCGGCGACTACAAACAACGGCGAAGAGCATGTGGCTGCTAGAACCATTCATTAACCTGCCAGGATTGGGTTGGTTGCTTTACACGCAGCAACAGTCTGAAGGTGGGAATAAACAGCACCGGACTCGGGGCTGGGCAGCAACGGAGGGAACAGCACTGGGAGGTAGTGCCAGACGGTCTTTGGGAGTTGTTAGCCCACACCAACAACAAATAGCTATTTAAGTCAGCAGGCCTGGGGCCTTGGCACTCTTTTCAGACCAAGTCAGGTGCAGTTGCCCCATTGCTGCAAAGTTTCAGCTTCTTTCTTCAGAGGTCGGCTGCTGCATGCAGCTTCTTTCCTTGGTGGTTAGAAACCGCGGGAAGAATCTAAGGGCCCAAACTGGCGCCTGCCCTGCCTTATATCCTCTTTCAGAGTCCCCCCCCCCACCCTAGTTGATACCTGCCTGATTGGACCATTTTCAATTCTAAGTGTCTGATTGGACCATCTTAGGACCAGTCAGCCCATCTGGTGCTGAATAGGTAACTAATGAGCTTATGAACATGATTGGCTCATTAAGCTCACACCTCATTGGTTCATTTTATGATCAGCTATAGCTCTGGGCCTGCCAGCAAGCCCACCAGCACCAGACCTCCACGTAGCCATCCCACAGCCTTTGGCTGCAGGGCGGCCTGGGTCCTCTGTGCTCTGGCCAAAGGCAGGAAATTCCTGCTGGGGCTTCAAGCTCAAAACCCAATCGTTGCCTAAGGGAGGGGCTGCCCAAAAGCAGCAACTTCTGGCTTTGTGGGGGAAACAGGGAACCGGGAACAGGAAACGAAACACCACCTTTTCTCAAAGGCTCCCCTCCCCTTAGGCAAGGAAGGAAAGTGTCAATCTTGCCCCACCCGTCCAAGCTGCAGGGCCCAGTTTCACAAAGGCCCTATTTCCAAATAAGATCATATCTGAGGTTGCAGTTATACATGAATTTTGCGTGGATTGTATTTATTCTTAAAATTTTAGCAAATGTTATAACTCTAAATTGACATTTATTTTTCTCAACAATTTAAATAAATTACTCCCCCAGTTTCTGGATCTGTTATTATTGTTGAATCTGTTATAGTCTAATTGTCATTGTTTTCATAGCATCTGTCCTGTTTTTAATTTTTTCTTTATTTTGAGACTTCTGCAATCCCACTATGTGTTCAAGTATGATTGGAATTTGCTATAATTATGGAATTTTTAAATTTATGTATTTCATCAAAATGATCTTTTTACATATTACTTCTTTTCCATTCTTTCTACTCTGCCCTTTTGGAAATGGGAGAAGGGAATGGGGAAAGGGATTAACTTCTAGGTGGTTCAGCAAATTGCCTAGTTCTGGAGGTGTTTTTAGTGAAGGTGTTACAGGGCAAACCCCGATATAAAATGGGTTGCCTGACTGTGGGTCCTCACCCACATGCTTAAAGGGGACTTGTTAATGCTAAAATGCAGACACACACAAAAGGTTGATAAAAGGTTGATTTACAAGGGAAGGGGAAATGGGAAATGAATAACTCAGGGAGAAAAAGAGGGTGATAAGCTCGTAAATGCGTCCTACCCTGTCCTCTGACCTGGAATCCCAATGATCTGCCAAGCTGGCAAAAACCTAGCATGCCTTGTGGCCAAGCCAGAGACACCACCCCCCACCCCTTGCCCCAGCACATGGCCAGTTAAATACCCAAACCGAGAGCCTAGTTGCTTAACTCTGCCCTCAGGTCCTCGCAACCTTCCCTTTTGGTGATCGTGGGATGTGTAGTTCTCAGTGTTGTGGGGATGGAGTCCACAAAGCCTGCATGGAGTTTGCTCAGGACATCTTTTCCCCCTATCAAAGGGACTACCAGAGCCAGCACTCTGACCAAGAGTCAGTCAACTCACAGATCCACGTGTTAATGACACATGGTCATGGAGAAGCAAGTGCCACTTAAGAGAAAGAAAACTCAAAGCCCAACCCTTATTGAATGGTGGGTTCATTAAACCCTCATTTCATAGTAAGGACTGTGTTGCTTGTAATAAATAAAGAGAAGAGTGCTAATAAAAATAGGACTAGAAACAATTACTTAGTCTGCTGATAAATATTTGAGTTTACAGTGCATCTTTATTATTTCCAGAGTAAAGATGCTACAGAATTTCAAAGAAAACATGCACTATTAAGTGAGTGATTCTTTTTTTTTAAACTTTTTTTTTAAAGATTTATTTATTTATATATACAAGCACTGGGTACAGTCAGAAGCGCGGAGGGTGAAAGAGTTCACCAGAGCCAGAGTGGGGAACAGAACAGGCAGAGTGACGAAATACACTGCTGAGGGTAGAGGCGGGCGACAGGAGAGGTCTGCGCACCATGTGGAACCCTCACCGGTGACCGAGTATCAACCGGCGCTGCAGAGGCTGCAGGCAGCTTCGCAGCCCAGCGCTTAACTGCTGCGCCACCAGGGGAGGCCCAAGTGAGTGATTCTTGTGATCAATATTCCAGTATATAATTCTAGTTAACTATTGCCAGTTAAT